TCCATATTCACCCTCTTATGAATTAGATAATTCTGTTGGAGTAGTTAAAGGATTACCTAATATAGTGTGTACGTAGTCCACAAGATCTGAAAAATAGATAAAACAAAAACTAATATTAGCTTCCATCAAGAGAAAATAACTGTAATGTTAAAAAAGTTAGTGCCGCATATTGAATAAGTTGTCAAGTCGTCATGTTAGTATGAAGGTGAGCTCTTGGCATTAGCTGTTTCCTTCACAATGTATAAACAATTATCTATACATCGTATAAGGAAAATGAAAAAAAAATGCACCATTATTCAATAAAGATTATAATAATTAAATGAATATGTCATAAAAATTATTTGTGAAAGGGGAAAAAGGTTGATGTCTAGGACAAATCTTTAACAGTAAATTCATAGAAGTTTTATACATGAGCAACAGAGATCTCTGACTTTCTTTTTTCTGTGAGATTCCCATTACAGTGCAACTTGAAAGGATGTGTTATGTAACACCTCACATAATTATATCAATATACGCAATAAAATATTTAATTTAGAAGTCCATACATATTTCTAATACTGCAAACAAGTCAAAATTTCAAAAAATTTCTAAAATAGCTTAACCACATAAACTATTAAAGTCTTATAGTCATGGCAAATAAAAATATAACATAGCATGTGTTTGAGGAGCACAAAAGCCTTCACGGCTCATTCCGTTAGTGCCTTCCCTTGATTTCTACTAGATCCTTCGCCTGAAAATTGTTAATATAGGGGGGTGAGATCAAACGTCTCAATAACCACTGAAATTCTAACCTATACAAGCAAATCATATATGATAAACCAAAAATCTGTTTATATGTCTGTATATATGCATATATTAAAAATCATGAGTTTAAAACATTCAATTCAATTTTCATTCTCTTTTCAATATATCCAAAAATAATGCAGTATGCTGCCTCCCTTATATCACCATCCACCCTTATACCGCTGACTGGAGCCATAGGCTAACACATAGTCCGATAGGAACTAATCCATTTTTACTGAATTATTCCAAGCTCACCGACACTAGAGATATATCCAGCCAAAGATATAGAGCTCAAGCTCGGACTATGGCTCCCCTCCTTTGTGAATAGGGAGGTGTCACATGTCCCACAGCTCCAATGAATTCCCGGCCAAAGGAAAACATGGAAGAATGAGCCCTGACAAGTGCCATCCACTGTACACCGAGTGATGGCACACCACGTGGTAATTTTATATCCATGCAATCTCCTTTTATCCTTAGCCCAACAATGCATGTCAGATGCGAATAATATTACATCATAAATACGTCCTCAAATATATTAAAAATAAGATAGCAATAAAAATTATATACCATTTAATAACAACTCATGATAATTCCATAGCTATCAATATATTTAATTATTAATCATAACTAATAGCAATAAATCTTAACAAAATCAAATAACATACCAAAACATTCATTTGAAAAATCACAATATTATATTTCAATATATAAAAATATATTAAATTCATAATACAATCATACACAATTCACATGTACAAGAAAGAATTTTCAAAGTTACCTGGTACTCTTTAACTTACAAATATTCACACAAGGACTACTCTAAAATCTCAAGGGTCTACAAAATTACACATAAATATTTATTAATATAAACTCAGAACTACTCCAAAACTACTCTAAAATTCTAAGACTACCCTCTAAACCAAAATTACATAAATATATTAACTCTCCCAAATCTAGGCATTTATAATAGATATTATTTTGAAAAATAATTTACATATAAGGCTATTTAAATTTAACAAAAGTATATATATTTTTATTACCCAAAATCTAAATATTTTATATTAAAATTCTCAATTATTTATTATAATCTCATATAAAATTTTTCCTCAAACCAAGCAATTTCTTTTTAGATTATAAACAAACTGTAGTTTTATCTAATTTCACAACATTCTTAATTTACCATTTTTCAAGCCTTCAAAAATTATTTCAAAAATATATTTTTAACTTATTCAATATTTAAACCGATTAAAACCTCAATAATATATTAAATAACTCAAATAAATTATTTAACTCAAATTTAATCGGTAAAAACATATTACAAGTCTAAATAACAAACTTTTCAACTAAAATCTTAGTTTAAAATTCTCAAAATAATCATTCAACAAAAATAAACTGATTAAAATTCCTTAATAATGCATTTTTAAATTTCTATGGTCATGTATTGTCAAAACTCCATATTTACTTTATACCCAAATAATAAAATTTTCTCTAAACATTATAATGATACTAATAATATAAAGTTCTAAATATATAGGAAATACTCATAAAGAAAATATGATAAAAAGAAGTATATTTATGTACCTAAATGATTTCCAAATATTGCCTTGTCTTTCTAACAGCACGTACTTTTACTCACTCTTTTGTTTTCTCTCTGCCTTTCGCCCTCTCCTTCTCTTCTCTCACTCTCTCTTTCTCTTCCGTCTCCTGCTCCCCCTCTTTTAAACTCACTTCTCCAACTTCCAACTATCCCTTCTCCCATTTTCTTCATTCATTTATTATTTTTCCAAAAATTCTTCCTTCATCCGTTCCTTTCCTTCTTTTCCTTCCTCTATTTAATACTCCTTCCTTCTTTTCAACTTACACTTACTACATCTGATCCCATTTTCTTCAGCCGCCCCTCTCTCTTTGTTTTTTTCCTTCTATGTTCATTAATAACCCCCCTCCTTTTTCCACTGTCGGTGGAAAAAGGTGGGGTGGTGTGTTTTTTTTTTTAAATATTAAAATATAATAAAATATTAAATAGTTTTTGTTTAAAAAAATAGTATGTTACATGTTATGCAAGAAGGAATCAAATAAGTTAGAAGTTATGATGGGGTGCCTTACCCTGGATAATCGAAAGGATCATTTTAAAAATGCTACTTGCTGCTGCTACACCAGATAAACAAATGTATTAGTACAGGGATATGGTATATATATTTTACTGCTAATATGCGGGCAAAAAAAAAAATATTACAGCTAATATGATAAAGATTGAGATTTTATTCTATCTGCGTGTTGCTAGCTCTTTACTTTTAAATATTTAAATTTTTTATGGATTAAAAAAATTCAAATAGAAAAGCATTCTTTTCAAAATACAAGTAATATCTTCCAAATTTGTCAATAGCAAAAAATAGTCATCTCAATGCCCTAAGGGTAATGGATAGACTCCTCTTAAAAAATAGTCACCTTGTGTGCTAAGGGTGATGGATAGATTCCTGTTAACTAGATAGTTTATTGCTTTCTTTATTTCATATACAAACCAAACGAATTCAATTTCATCCACACTAGTTTTTTTAATTATATTTTTTATTTTAAAAATATGTACGATAACAGTGGAATGCATATGATACACACACCCTGAACCAAAAAATGATATATTTTTCCCAAAAAATGGTTTTGTACCACATGTATAATATTATTGGCAGCCAAAATTGCATCAAAATTCAATAATGGATCGTCAACGTAAGCAGGAAAAAAAATTAATGGACTTACCTATTTGACAGCGTGGTTTCTCACCACCAATACCGAGAATTATTTCATAATCATGTCCAGAATGTGGGCAGAAACTGTTGATCCAAGAGAGCTCAAAGCCATAAAGAAGGATATTGTCAATGTCTGTGCAGGAGCTGGACTGGTTCTACAGAGCAGGCCACGAAGTCATATACATCGCTTCTATACGGCAATCATCCTCGACCCCCACATTTCTTACGTATCCACTGCCGACATAGGCATACAACTTCGATGATGATGAAGAAGAAGAAGAAGACGGAGAAGAAGAAGAAGCCACAGAGCCATTTGAAGTGTTGAAACAAGGGGCTGTGTCCACAAACCCAGGGGAATCCACAGGGTGTTCACACCTTACGTATATCATATTTGTGTTCAATCCATACCATTGCCAAACTCCATTTTCATTGCGCCCATCGATGGTGGAGATATATGGATCCCTTTGGCTAAAGTTGTAGTCTGTTAAAGAATACCCAGGAAGGGAAGAGGAATCCAACTCTACAATATTAGCGTCCCTCAATCGGATTGTGTAGTTCTCATAATTAATGGACACAACACTGTATCTCCCAAACTGCCAGTACATTACCAATTGGTTGTGCTCGCAAGATAGGTTGTGCCTTTGATCACTACACTCCTCTGGATATTCTTTTAGCTGAAAAGGGCTGCTAATGTTGTGATCTCCACATAAAATAGAGCAGTTTTGTGTCCATCTGATGCCTTGCAAGTTCTGTAGAATAACATTATCAAAAACAGAGCTACCAGTAATTTTCCTGTGGAGGAATACATGATTCTCAAGATCTCCAAATGAAGAGTAAATAAGAACGAGACTTACAAAGCTAGTCTGCCACATATTTCAATATTATTGCAATCAAGAAGTTGCCACTAGCCAACTTGATTGCATATACGATGTCAATATATAATTCATAAAGGCGTGTTTACACGTAAGGTGGTAGGTATACCATGTGGGAAAATTATTGGGAAGCTAACCTTGTTTGAAAAAGTCTCTGAGACTTTGTATTTTAGATGCAACTGATCTTGGCTACTTGGCAAGCCAAACGCTGGAGATATGGAAACTGCAGTCGTAAACTCCTTCTTCTCTGTATGCTTGTTGCTAACTCTCATGTTTTTAGGGTCAGTAGGAAGCTCGAATAGCTGTCCAAAACCTGAAACATCATGTGGAAAACTTCCTGTTCAGTTTCCTTTCCGAGTAAAAGGACGCCAACCAGAACAATGCGGCTATCCTGGGTTTGATTTAGAATGTTCTTCTACCAAACATGCTGTTCTTGAGCTTCCTGGATCAGTCAAGCTCAGTGTCAAACATATTGATTACAAATCTCAAACCATTCAATTATATGATCCTTCTGGTTGCCTTCCAAGGCATGTCCACAATCTCACTCTAGTTCCTTCTCCTTTCCAGTTCATAGACCGAAATCTTAATGACTTTACAATTTTCAATTGCTCATCGCCAAGAGATGGAGCGATTATTTCAACGTGCCTCAGCAGCTCTGCTTACCATGTGTATGCCGTTTTGTCTTATCGCGAGATTGGACAACTTCCCTTGTTATTTTGCAGCAAAATATTTAACATTTCTTCTGTCCCACTTGAGATTTTTGATGTTGAGAACACTCTTCATTTGATGTGGTCTAATCCAATGCGCAAACATTGTGAATCAAATGGAACAAGATGTGGATTCAAGAATAGTAATATTCAGCTATGATATTACATGTTTTGGGGATCGTCACAGTGGTAATATGAAACTCTTCCATCAAAACTTTTGCTCTTCTTTTTCAATACACATGTATGGCGATTTATATCATTTACATAAACTGGCCATAGCATTTGCCTGGAATGTTAATTATCTATTCTAATAAACATACAAAATCACCACACATTTCTTGTCTCATGCCCAGCATCAATGTTCTTTACATGATAAGGCATGACTTCTTTGGAATACCTATATCAACATGCTTAGCTGACCAATCATGTTAATTTCTTTTGCAGGTTCATCAAACAAATACGTAATTGCAGGTTAGTTTCCAAAATGAACTTAGTATAATCTGCTGAAAGCAGATTATACTTTCTAAAACTAAATATTCGAGTTTGTGTTATATGTACAGGATCAATGATGGGCTCACTTCTAGTAGTGAGTACTCTTGCGGCAATTCTTTATATCAGCAACTCTTATAAATCACAGAAAGAAAGCCAAGCAATAATTGAGAAGTTTTTGAAAGACTATAGAGCTCTCAAGTCCACCAGATATTCTTATGCTGAAATCAAGAGAATTACCAATCAGTTTGAAGTCAAGTTAGGGGAAGGGTCTTTCGGTATTGTGTTCAAAGGAAACATTCCATCTAAGTTCAAGGTTGCAGTGAAGATCCTCACTAATTCTGAAGGAAATGGTGAAGAGTTCATCACTGAAGTTGGAACAATGGGTAAAATCCATCATGTCAACATTATTCACTTAATGGGCTTCTGTGCTGATGGCTTTAGGAGAGCACTGGTTTACAAATACTTTCAAAATGGTTCATTACAAAATTTCATAAATTCACCAGGCAATAGGCAAAACTTTGTTGGATGGAAAAAGCTCTATGAGATTGCTTTAGGTACAGCCAAAGGAATTGATTATCTTCATCAAGGCTGTGAGCAATGCATACTTCATTTTGACATCAAATCTCATAATATTCTATTGGATGATGACTTGACTCCAAAAATATGTGATTTGGGGTTGGCTAAACTGTGTTCCAAGGATCAAAGCATAGTGTCAATGACAAACGCTAGAGGAACATTGGGTTACATTGCTCCAGAAGTCTTCTCACGAAATTTTGGAAATATATCTCACAAAGCAGATGTTTATCGTTTTGGAATGTTGCTACTTGAATTAATAGGAGGAAGAAGGATTACCCATGACACAAAAGAAAATGCTCCCCACATTTACTATCCCGAATGGATCTATAATATTTTAGAAGAAAAGGAGGATGTGAGGATTCATATTGAGGAAGAAGGGGATGCTAAAATTGCAAGAAAATTGGGAATGGTAGGCCTGTGGTGCATTCAATGGCATGCTGTGGATCGACCATCAATGCAAGTAGTTCTTCAAATGTTGGAAGGAGAAGGAGACAGATTACCAATGCCTCCAAATCCTTTTAATTCTGATGGTCCTTCAACAAGAGAAAGGGTTAATGTACAAGCAAGAAATCTGATGCAAGGTTTAGCAATAATCCAGGGAGTAGAGTGAAAGTCTATAACAGTCAAATATTATATGAACTTGGTATTGTAAATATTTGCTTTTAAATTGTGCGGTTCTGTCATCGATTGTGTTTGTGCGTAGTTTTGAGCCTTCAGTACTTGATTATAGAAGAATATAATGGATCATAGAAAGCAAATAGCTAATCCTTCTTGATTCTTCATATGAACATTAATTAAAATGAAAGAAGTACATTGCTATTCCGTGGCTGGAAAGGAAGTAGAAACAGAGAAGCTTCGGCCACAGCTTCCAAGAGAATCAGACAGGTTGGATATGAATGGATGGAATTCCGTAAATGTTATGGTGCGCCCATGTCCACGTGGTCAAGGAAAGCAACTCCATTAATATCACCAATCATTTATATTTTAAAAAAAAAATCAATCATGAAAAGGAAGGATCCAAATACAGTTGTTAATCGTATCTTCTTTTCCTCCCATCCTGCTTCTGAGTCAATACACTGATGCTTGTGATTCCCACCAAATTCCTTCGAAAATCAGGAAAAACAGCCTCCCAAAAGAATATATACAGTTAAGATATAAATTTGTCTTAAAAATTTTTTATTCAGAAGCACTAGGCATTCGAAAGTTTTTTTTTTGTTACAAATTTGCCTTAGAAGTATAAAATAGTAGCAATTTTACGCCTACCATTAAAAAAAATGAGTATTGACCGTTAAAACAGGGATACTAACCGTCAACATTTTTAATGATAAAAGATAAAATTGTAAGGATTTTAAATTTTTAGAAAAAGTTTACACGAATAAAAATTTTCAAGTTCCTAATACTCCTGAGTCAACTTCCTGAACAAATTTACCTCTTAAGTCAAATATCTGTATGCACAAAAAGGCAAGGCAAGGCAGAGACAGGGACTGGCGGAAGCCATAGCCTCGAAAAGTTTTAGCGTTTATTGTTATAATGGTATTATACAGGTATATATTTTATTTGTAGCCATAAAGTTTACATTAACTCTTTTTTATGACAAAATTTATATTAACTTTCATGCTGTATCTTTTTCATCTGGCTTCCTTTATTCTTAAATCCTAACTCTCTCCCTGTGTATGAAGTTATGCTGCTCATGAATACTTTACTCCGTTTTATAAGAAATAAGATACATAAATATCCTAAAAATATTCACAAATGAGCACCCAGTACCTGAAAAAATTTTTGTTTTGCTTTTATATGTCCTAAAAGTTTCATTTTTGTAATATTTCTATCATGAACTGTTATTGACTATTAAGTTTAACTGTTAAAGACACTAGTTAGACTGCATAATTTAACAATCAAACTTAACAATAAATAACGGTCAAAATATTTTTGATGTAAAAATAAACTTTCGGGGCATATAAAAGTAAGAAAAAAAATTTTAGGTGCTAAGTGCTCTTTCGTTAATACTTTTGGGATATTTAAGAACCTTATCCCATCATATAATATTTTTATTTTTTTCCAAAGAAGAATTATATCTAAGAACCAAATTTATGAATCTTTTATTCCCAAGGACCACTAATGATGAATAATCAATGTTCCATTTGTAGATTGTGCTATTTGAGTGGTAAATAGTGTTGAATATATATTTTAGTTGTAAATTCGTATTATGTGAATGGTAAATGCTCATAATTTGAGGAGTAAATATTGTGCTACGTGAGTGATAAATACAAATACCTTCTTAATAACTAATTTGTGAATCTGATCCCTCACTAAAATTCTCCCTTTCTTCCGCATCTTCGCGCAAATCTTGGCTGGATTCTAATTATAAAGAATAATTACAATTTAAAAAATTTTAAATTATTATCTATATATTTTGGGGGAGAATTACAATCAAGTCCTATGAAAAAAATTACAAAATAAGTTTCAGAGATTGTCATTTTCTACTATATAACTTGTCATTACAAGCTTTTTTTATGAGATTTGATTATAATTCTACTATATTTTAACGAGTGAAAATATTTATTTTTGGGGAAAAAATAAATGCAACAACTAAAAAATGTCCAGAATTTAATAGATATATAAAACAGTAGTATTTTAAAATAGAAAGTGGGCTGCCGACAAATGAAAAGGAAGCATCGTGCACTCTCCAAAGTTGGGGTTGTTAAATGAGAGGAGTAGCAAACAAAAGCAACTGCATTGTCATCCTTGGCACAGAACACTACGAGCCAACTATCCCCACTTCGGAAGCGGAAAGTCCCCAGTGTCTGTGTGTTGCTAACTCTATGATTTTACATATTTTAAATGTTTTTATAGATTGAAAAAATTCAAATGGAAAATCACTTCGTAAAACTCAAATGGTGCCTTCCAAAGTTGTCGATAGCAAAAACTCATCATCGTCTCAACGTTCTAAGGGTGATGCATTGACTAGTTAACTACTCCTTCTGTCCTTAATATAGGACCCAATTATTGAGTTGGTTTTAGTCATAAATATAAGACTCATTTCTTATATTTATCATTTTTCTCTAAATTACCCTTGTAGATACTCCCTCAACCATAATCAAGTAGAAGAGGGAGATGGGTATTAAAAAAAGATGATTATGGTGTCTTAGGAGACATTTCTTATATCTAACTAACTTATCTAACTTCCTGAATCTAATCAAATTAACTAAATGAGTCCTATATTAAGAACCGCAGGAGTAACTAGTCTATAATCTACTATCGCTTTACCACCTTAAAATATTTTTTGAAGTATATCTAATATTTTAAAATACTTTGTGGTACATTTAGCGTTTCAAAATATATTTTAGGTGTGTCTCACACCTTAAAATATTTTTTATCTTGGTGTTGAATGCACTAAAAAAAATTTTGAGTGTTAAACAAATCTAAAAAAAATGTTTCAAAATACTGGATGTACCAAACAATATTTTAAAGTGTCGAACGTATTTTTTTAAAAAAATTTTAAGAGGTTAGATATATTACAAAATATTTTAAAATATTAGATACATGGAAAAAATATTTCAACTACTAGATTCAACTTAACCTTTTTTTTTTTAATCATATTTTTATTTTTAAAACTTGTACGATAAGAATGGAGCGTGCGTATGCACGCCCAGGTACACACCATTAATCAAACGCGGCATCACTTTTGACCATTAATGATTCATGAAATTTGTTCCTTTTTCTTTGGTACAAAAATTTTAAGAAAGGGATCGGATTCACCCACGATCCAAAAGCAAGGCAACTAACCATTGACTTCAGTTCTATCCAGCTCTGTAGCTTTATTGGAATAGGGAGAGCTCCACGTGGGGAATCACCACATGTTACGAGCTGAGGCCTTGGCTTTAAAGATGCCTCTTTCACCGCCGCGACTAGAGTCACAACAAAGTGACACTCTCTAGGATTGAATCCTCTCCTTTTGGTGAGAGTGTCCAACCCTTTCGCCAGCTGAAATTTGTTCCTTAATTGTTCGCATCAAAACTTTTAACAATAAAAGCTAGTACAGGTTAATTCTTATTTTAACAATTGTATTCACATATATATAATCTCCTGTCCTAATTATAAAAATTTTTTAATAGTCAACGAGGTTTTATAATAAGGCCAAAAGTAATATGGTATTTTAACAATGACATTACCCTCACTTTTAATATAATAACTGGATAATTAATTTGAAAATATTAATAAAATTAGTCAAATTAATTATTTATAATAAATAAATATTATCTTTTTAAAAATACCATTGTTCATCATGTGTATTGAAATTTTTTTTTCATGAAAATTCTTTAATATGTATAATTACTATATGGATTAATTGGAACCAAATTGAATTTTCAACGAACTCTTATATTAAGGAGAGAAAGTAGTAAACTTATATGAACCAATTTCAAGTATAGGGGGAGATGTATTGATAATTTGCCCCTGAATTAGGAAAGAAAATGCAAATATAAACACCACTTTAAATCAATAATGGACTTTCAACGATAAAAAAAAGGGGGGGGGGGAAAAAGAAGAAATCAAGTAATGGAGTTGCC